ATCCTAGCGCCGGTTCCCGCCGCGGGCACGCAACCTCGGTGTCGTAATGAGTACGTGGTCTCCGATATGTTTGGGCATAAGTTTGATATTGGCCACGCCTCTTAGGTGGGAAAACACCAAATAAGCAGTTGATACTAGACCGCTCCCTTTACTATTTGTATAATTTTTCCTTGTTCCCAGGAGGGGTGTTCTCTCTTCCCCCAAAAATTTTCTCTTCTTGCTCTTCCTTCCCTATAATCCGAGCCCACCCCGTGGTGCAAGGGAGGGGACGCGAGTTGGAGGGGGTGGAGGGGGGATGGGAAGTAAGGGGTTATATTTAAATCGTAGGAGGCTAGGGTGGCCATTGGGGGAGGTATTGGTGTGTCATTGGTGAGTCATTGATTTATTAAAATGTACGAACCGAGTTGATCCAACTCTAGAGCGTAAAATGGGATGCCCTGCTCATTTAGAAGGGATTTAGCGGCTTTGCTGTAGGAGCAGTAGGTTTTCGAGAAGATGACTGTTGATTTTAAATAGAGGTTAGCAATTAGGCTCTAACAAAAATAAACGGGTTTTTTTTTTTTTTTTTTTTTTTTTTTTTTGTTCTTTTCTTTTTTTGCAAGGATTTCGGTGTGAATGAATTTTGATATTCATATTGTCAATAAATCCCACAAAACTAAAACAGGAGCTTGGAAAGTAGACATATATGAAGGAATTGCTTGATCTTATACTAATCCTTGTAAGACCTATAAAGACACAAGAAGGAGTGAGTGGCCTAGACATACCAACATGGTGACCAGCAATAATATCCTCAACCTTGGATTTTGCACCAGTCATCGTAACGGAGTTTGAGCCAGCAAGAGACCCGAGAAAACGACGGAATATGGACGCGATGTTGGGCAATTGGGGGAAGGCTCAGGAGCCTTCGTTTCTGGGGATTAAAAGGAAGTAGATAGAGGCTTGCTTGCCCTTCTTTAGATGAGAAGAGGATCTGAAGTTCGCTGGGAGGAGCTGTGATGGCGATGTGCTGGGTGATGATTGTTGAAGTTATTGGTGAAAGGTAGGTAGGGGTGGCTGGGCAGTTTCCTTCTATTTATTTATTTATGCACAACTTGGAACAAGATCACTGGAACAGCGACAACAAGCTGGTTTTCCTGCAGTGTTGACTCTTCTGTTACTGACGATCAAAATTGGCCACCTCAATATTTTGATTAGGAGTTATGGAGGCAAAAATGAACAATGTCCAATTGCAGGAATAGAGGAATAGGTACTCCGTCGGAATGACCGCATCGGCGCATGGGATGGCGCCAATGCTGGGCTAAGAGCATCGCTCGGAATTCATCCGCACTTGTTCTTGGTTTTCCCATATTTTTGTTTGCATCAAACAACATTCATCAGTTCTGCAGGCAAAACCTACATATCCTCAGTATGAAAATCCGCAAAACATCCTCCAGTTCCCGTGCCTTCGTTCTTACGATATCCTTTCCCTAAGTTGTTTTCTCTTGCTCAATACATTTCTTCTGCTTTGCGCTACTACGCCCTGCGGGCCCAGCCAACTCGCCATACTACCGAGGTCTTCTGGGTTGAACGGAGAATATAAACCAGTTTCTATTTTTACTCTGCTCTTAAAACAAATATATTGTAGCCCAGGAAGCCCTGAGAAGGAAGGGAAAGAAGCTGGATATCACAATGATAGATAAACCTACGTAGGTAATCGACGTGAAGGAACCTGGAAGGGATGGCGGTTCAAGAAAATGCCCCCAAAACATGAACAAAAGCCTAGCACAAGAGAAGGGTGAGTACTAGTATGAGTTTCATTGATTATGAGATTAAACCATTTTTGATTTTATATTTTGATAAGTATTTAAATATGTATATATTCTTATATGCCCTCTTCTTCCGCTAAAATATTTTGAAGTCTCTTGAGGTACAAGGGGAAATTGACGGGAACAAGGACAAATAATGGGTATATGAATGGGTGATCATAGAGGCCCGGAAGGCTTTATGTACCAGAGCGGGATAGGATAGAGAGAAAATAACTATCCCTCAAAGATTATTGTGTAAGGCATGGTGGTGGTTGGTCTGTGGCTGTTGAAAGGGATTTGGTGGTTAAAGCAGCCAGAGAAAGTAGATAGATCGAAGGTAATATCAAATAATCGAAAGTCAAAAAAGGATGTAAAGAGAAAAGTTGAATGGCAAAGACAGAGACAAAAGAGTTTGCAATACAGGGAGTACACGAAACCAAAGACGGGAATGAAACGAAAAGAAGTTGGTGATGTATTTTTGTCTAGGGAAGAGGAGAACGCGAGGCAGGAAAATAGAGAAAATGTAAAAAGGGAAAAGGAGCAACAGGCAGGGAAACAAGAGAGAAACCACTTCAAAGAAGGGAATATAGTTTAATAATAGAAACAGATATCGTAAAATTCGTGAGAATAAGCTGCAAGAAAAGGGGTAAACAAGGTAGCTAGACAACGGACGAAGATGTGGGTATGTATGGAATGAGTTTAATTGCTTGCTCAAGTAGATTGATGAAAAATGAAAGGGAAAAATAAGGAAACCTAAGCGGAGAAATGCTGGAAGTAGAAAAAGGGGGCAAGCCCACCGCAAGGGCAGCGGCAAGGAAACAGAACAAAATAGGGGATCAAATAGAGAAGAAAAAAACGCCGATGGGCTACAGACGAGATGGACTTCAAATTATAGAAAGGAAAGAGCATAAGAGGAAGAAGGGAAGAACAAGGATGGAGAGAAATATGACACTTCAGCTTCTGGCTACCCTGTACATGAATGTACAGTCGAAATAAATAACACAATTGAAGAAGATAGAGGATAAGAAGATAGGATGGCGAAGGTAAATGAAGAGGTGCGACGGCGGAAGAGTTGACACGGAATAAGAAATATAATTAGCAGGTGGAAAAATTGTTTCCGAGAGCTGTTGCGCAAGCTTTGGGGAGAAATTTGAAGGGATTTCTGTATTCCCTTTCCCCTTTTCCTTCTCCCTTATTCGTTTGGCTGCAGCTCAACTAGGAGGGTATATCATCTGAGCATTTCGTGTGAGGTGGAAAGCGCCACTGTTGTTATTGTTAAAGAGATACATTTACATGACAACGCAACAACCGCAGCCTTTCTCCTCCACTGGCGGATCATCTGCAGGTGGAGGTTGTGGTTTCGGCTGCGAGATCTGTGAGGGCTTCGGAGATAGGGAGGATTGCACCGTTGGTGTAGTTTTGTAACCACCATGGTCCGTCCCACCTGTACTTGGGCGATTGTTGTTGTCCGGAGATTTCGCCGTCGGTGTTGGTGGCCAGAGGGAGGAAGCGGTATTGTTTTCTTGTGCCTTTTCGACATCCAGATTGGGAAGAGTGGGTTTGCTAACTTCATTAATAGCCAAGGGTGCGAATTCTCGGTCATACGTAGATGGAACTTTGCCCTCTCGTTGCCACTGCTCCTGTTGGAGTCTTTTCGCATGGGTGGGGAGAATTTGTTGGTCTTGTGGTAGGCGTGGATCGGGTTTATACATGGTCGCCAACCATGGCGGATCTCCCTCTGGACGGTTAACTGAGGTCCGGGGGCGATCATCCCCAGATCTAGTAGACGGACGCTGATTTGAGGAGCTGATGGAGCTGTTATTGTTGCTGCTGCCGGCCGTCGCTTTGGGTTTTGATGTTGATGGCTTGCGATTATTCGGTGGATTGGATGATTTATGGGCGGTGCTTGAGTGTCTAGCAGTTGCCTTCGGTTTCGTAGGAGAGGCTTGCTGTTGATAAGTGATACTGCCACTAGTGGGTCGGCTCGTAGGAGAGTCGAGTCCGATGAGGTCAGTGGTTGCGCCTGAGTCTTGGTTGCCGCTCCGTTTGTTGCAGCGATTGCGGCTGGATTTCTGGTTCAGGAGCGTCACCAGCTGCGGTTGATAGAGGATCGCTGAACTTGCGAGTTTTAGCATATGAAATGCTGTCATCATCTCCGCTCCCAAGGGTGTTGTTGCGTGTGCGATTTAAGGGGAATTCGCGTTCTAGATGTTCTAGGGGGATAGGATGGGGACTGGTCGCAAAAACGGGTATTTTCGAAGAACTTTTCCTAAGTCCAAAAGCTTGGCGATATACTTGAGAAGTGTTTCTTCCTTCCTCGTACGGATCTGCAGCGATTTCCTCGGGTAAGCGAGGGTCTTCGAAGACGACCGGTCCACTGTCATCTGGTTCTTGTTCCTCATACTCAATAGGCACTGGGGATGTGATCCGCTGTCGTTTTTCTTCACGTGTTCCAGGCCATTGTTCGCCAATCTCCACCGTGCCGTTTGTGACATTGTTGTGGGAATCGTGGCTCCTGCCTCGTCTGCTGCTTGACTTGCTTCCGGCACGAACCTGTCGCTGGTGGAGCTGAATGCCAAATTGTTGCAATTCCTCACTTTCAATTTTAGCCAATTTGTCCCGATGAATCCAATTAGCACTGTCTAATTCTTCGTTACTGAAGCCAACAGTGTCAGTCTTCTTTTCCTCGGATTCCATCACGCTCACGGCACTCCTGTTGACTGATTCTCGACCATACAAATCCAAAAGACTATCTACTTCACTGCCCGTCCTGCTGAGAGTTGGTTCCCGCTTGCTCAACGCATCTACTCGGTTGGGTAGGAGATATCCTGTGTCGCCCTGCCTCGAGCCAGACCGCGAGGAGTTCCCAGATCGTGAGGCTCCGTTGACTAGAGCAGGTTGGTTATGACGCGGACTTGACTTAGAATATGTGGCGGTCGAATCGTTCGAGGTTCGTGGCTTAGAGAATGAATGTGCATTTTGCGGCTGGGACTGTTGGGATATAATTAGCGAAGGGGCTTTTTCCAGAAGAAGAAAACTTGACGTAATGGATGAAGACATATATGAAAGGGCGTATTTCAAGGTTGAAAGAGGAATGATGTATAATTTTTCGACCTATGTCAGCTCGTCTGATTGGCATTTTCGGTCTCAGGGAGCCTGATAGGGAGACGGAGTTGGAGGGTCACAACACGCCATACAAACCATACACATCAGAACAAACGTAATTAAGCACCCATTGAGAGATGGAAAGGACAGAAAACAGACAGAGACAAGAAACAATTGAGGGGGGACGGTGTCACACGTACGTCTTGGCTGATTGGGACGGAGAAATCCCATGGTTGCTGCTCCTTTCCATTGACGCTGCTTGGCGATGGCAGAGCATTTACAGAATGCGTTGCAGCAGCCTCTGCCATGCCAGCAAACCCTATTCTATTTCTATTGTGCAACAAATCCGTTCTGGAACGAGCCAGAAAGATCTACTTCTTATCTTTATGGTTCCCTTTTGTTCTTCTCTCCTCGTCTTCTGCCTTTGATAGGTTGTTATCGGTCAATCCACTCCGGCCTGTAGAGCATACTAGATCCCATTTAAGCTGGACTCTGTGGTGGGTTGGGCCAGACAAATCAAAAGGACCAGAATCGTAACACGAAACAAAAACCTATGGAGGCACGAAACGAGGTGGGGTTATGATATTGGATTAACGACGATGTGCTGGGGCACTCGGAATTCCACAAAAACGGTCGAAAAAAGGAGTGCGGAGGATATGAAGATCGGAGCAGTTCTGTCGTTGTGAGGCGCGAGGGAATCTTCAGCATAAGACACGAAGACGAGTGTAATGGTGTCGAGTCAACACGAATCAGGAAAACGATCAGCGATCAAAGGAAGGAGAGAGAGAGAAAAAGATCGGCTCATATGTCCCCGCGTAGGGGAATTAATTAAATGAAGCACCTACTGAGCTGCTCAGCCCAGTGAGAGTTGGGGGGAATGAAGGGAAAAGGAAGATGTGAGCAGTAAGAATGAGAAGGTTGATGTTTTCCCCCTAGGGTGGCAGAACTACAGGGATACAAAAACTCCAGGCTAAAAGAGGAGAAGGTGAGAAACAGACACTGCCAGGCACAAAGGAGTGACATGCGCAGAAGACTGTACAAAGCAGGCAGAGAAGAAGAAAGAAGAGGCAGAAGGAGAGAGCGAGACAGAGCCTGAAGAACACAGACAATAGCCTGGGCTGGACAGTCGAAGTCAAGTTGGAGAGAGCGAGGTTGTTGGTTGGGGCGTGCTCGCGAATCACCAACGCTTGCTAGCGTGAACCTCGAAGCTGTGCTGAACTGTGAACTTCCACCCAAAACAAACCACTTGGTTACTCCACAGCTACAGCTTGCATCTTTCCGTAGTCCTTTCAAGATATGTACTGTGCATATCCTGTGGCTCCCCTGTACGCATTGCTGCGTCTGAGGATTGTTTTGCCGCTTCGGTTCCCCCTGGTGGGCCTGGCAAAAGGCCATCCCAGGATCGTCAGGGGCTAATGTGATTGGCTCTGTCGTTGGAAACCTCAATCTCCCTCACTGCCCAGTGTCCAGTGAATGCTCCTATTCCTACAATCTACTCGCAAAAAAAGGGGAAGTCGGGAATTCGAAGGGATACCATCCTTTTTAATTTCTTTTTTCGCCAAACAAGCAGAAAGCGGGTCCGCCTTTGCATATGTACCTTGGGAATGGTTCCAGTGGACAGGGGGAAAACATAACTGTAAGGTCTGGAAAACTTAATAAGGTTTCCAATTGGGTTTATATTTTCTCTCTCTGCCCATTTATTATTTACTTTTATTCATTTTTTCTTCTGTTATGATTTGAATAAAAACCGTTTTGATTTTTCTGAATAGCTTCTAGTGTCATGTTTCGTCCATTAACTACATGTGTTCCTTCAATATAAATGATTGGCAGCTGGACCCGGAACAGCCTCACCAACAAGCTCAAGGAAAACAAAAGCAAATTGTTTTATATATATGTGTTATATATATATGTGTTATTCATTGACACAGAAGTTTTATATCTTTGTTGCGATTATCAGAACAAAATTGGGATGAAACAAAACAGATCCATTGATTGAATTCAACATGACAGACGATGCGAGGTTTGATGTGAGCTATAAAATACAGAATGCCAACAATGTGCTGTGCAGAAGAAAAAGGAAATCTCTCACCATGCCATCTCATCTATTATTTTACCTAGATGCAAAACCATATGAGGGGGAAAAGAGGTTAAAAAAATGCACAATCCATGTCCCAATATCGGAATCACCTCACCCCCAACCACACCACCAAAAAAAAAAAAAAAGAAAAGACAAGAAAAGAAAAGCACCAGAAAGAAGAAACAGAACAGAAATAGGATCAATTATGAAAAAGATGCATACATACTGAGAACAGCAAACTTATCTGAAAAAAAAAAAAAAAAAAAAAAAAAAAAAAAAACAAACAAACCAAGAGACGGCCAAAGACCAAAGCTCATGTATGCAACATGTAATAGGACGAACAGGGCACATAATAAAAAAAATAAAATGAGATAAAAGAGAGAATCCTCTACCCCCGCCGATGCGCCTCATCAAGCAATTTCAACAAATTCTGCACCGTGACTATAAGCGTCCTCCTCTGCTGTCTCGCCTCCTCATTGCCATCAACCTCAATCCCATCAACCTTCAATATAACCTGCATCATCGTCGTCTCGCTGAGCTTGCGGTGCTCGATATCCCGCGTCTTCTGGTCCCCCGGTGGATGCTGGATGAATTCGCGAAGTAAAGGCTCGAGGGAATCGTGGAAATAACTGCTGAGGAGGCTGAGTTTCTCTTGCGGTGTACCGACAAAGTTGAGGTTCGGGGACGGTTTGGGGACGCGGGATGGGCGGGGAGATGCAGACGCACTGGCGGAGGAGGTGGGACGGTAGTCAGTGGAGGCTGCAACTGAAGGCGGCGCAGACAGGTTGGGTGAATTGCTAGTGTAGGAGGATGGTGGGGATTGTTGTTGTTGTTGGGGTGCTCGTTGTGGATGCTGTTGGTGATGCCGCTCTATAGGTAGCGCAAATGGCTTAGATGTGCTTTGTGCAGATGCTTGCGTGTCGTTGGAGGCGTTCTTATTTTTATCTTCGTTCTTATTCTTACGCTTTTTCTGACGTCGCTTTTTGCGGCCACCACCTCCACTGGCGCCGTTGGCGCGAGGGGAAGATGAGGACTGCTCCGCTGCTTCAGATGTTTCGTAATATGCGGGCGTAACCAAACTCTCCTCACTCGACGTATCTGGGAGGATGTTCGATACCACGCACATGGTTGCGGAATTCTGCTTCAGCCCGACATCCCTGGCCCTGGCGGAGTCATCTCTCAACACCGTGCCCTTATAGAGAAGTTTTATTTGCCTTGTGTCCGCAACGTCCAGCGCATTGGCAGCGGCCAATTTCACGCTCCCAACCGTTGTCAGTCCATCGCCGATGGAATAGGCGGGGAAGTTGAGACGGTACGTCTTCCCTTCTATATTTCAGAATGATAACATCTGGCTCAGACTCGTCGTCGGCGACTGTGAGGGGTTGCCGGCCGCTTCGCGGGTCGGTGGAGGAGTAGCCTAGGTTATGTCGCGCGCTGGTGTAGTCGGCGTCATCGACTGTTACGTAGCTGTAGTCTTCATTGGTAACGGTTGGTGGGGAAGTGTTCCGATATGGAGATGAGCGCTCTCTCCATGGATTCCAGATCATTGCAACAATAACCGCAAGAAGCAAGGCTGCTAGAACGGTGACTGCGAGGCGTGTGGTGGGGGTTGATGAGGTAAGAAGTGGTAGGGACTCAAAGGGCTTCGCAAGGCTATCTAGCCACAGGAAGGGTGACGATGTTAGGTCCGCTTTGGCAAGTTTGATCGCAAAGCGTGAGAGGACAGAACGCAGGGAGTTAGGCAAATGAGGTGCAAAAGACTCCAGATAAGAAGCGGACGTCGCGCTGATGGAGGAAAAATGAGAGGAAACGAAAATCATACACCGATTGTGCCAAATGGAGGATAAGTGGGCGGGGCTTTGGTGGTGCATCGCAGAGTTGGCATCGGCGGCCTCAGGGATTTTTTTTTTTTTTTTTTTTTTTTTTTTTTTTTTCCCTCAAGGCATTGACTTCAGGCAGCGGCCATGGGATGGCAAATGATGACAGCCCAGTTGGTATTATTTGCTTGGTTCTGGGCGCAGAGGGGGCTGGGTCCCTTCAGGGGCCCAGCGCCCAAGTCAAGTTCCAGAGCAATGTGTCAAAACCAGCAAACAAATGGAAGAACATTCATTTAACAAGGAAAAAAATATCATTGATTGATTATACTTGGATAGAAAGTGTTATTTTTCAGTTCCACATATTGAACCAACCAGTCCATAGCGGTCAATGACAGTTCGCAAAAATGAGCTTGTCCACAATTTCATCTCGAATAACAGCATCCCCACCACCAACCATTAGGATTACGATGTAAAGTGAATTGCACAGAAACACTTGAAAGGGAGTAGAGTACATATATGATCAATTTGACAGATGACACAAAACTTCGAGAACGTTATTAGCCCACAAATATCTAATCGAGCGGTAGGCATCCATGACTCCTCCCTAGAATCTCGGAAGCTACCTATCTATGCAAAGTATTGATCTCCAGGATCTCTCCATTTCACGCTTCATATCTGCACCTGCCCTTCCGCAGGTCTCCCACCAAACCATCTCCCAAGATTTGTCGTACCATCTCCTACATCAGATCCTTGACCTCCGAGCCATCTAGGCCGCTGGATTCCAACATTGTCCGCGCGCAGCCACTGTGGCGTGCTCGCCGTTTCGAAAGTGTTTCGGACGCGGTGCGCGAATGACTGGAAGAAATTCTCCTCTTCATCTTCCTCTGGTGCGGCTGCGACCGCTTGTATACGAGTCGAAACCGTAGCCCTGGCGGTTTGTCCCTGAGGCTGGTTCCTCGGTAGATCTGCAGGAGGTACCCATATCGTAGGACAGCTAGAAGGTGTAGACGCTGTTCGACGATGTACTGGCGCCGCCCGCTGTGATGAAAGGCCCAGAGCGCCCGATCCAGTCAACTCACTTTCGATCAGTTCCCTGCCTTCCCGCCAGCCCCCAGTTCCAAATCCGCTAGAATTGAGTGCGACATCCTCATCGTCTTCGAGCAGACCGAAATCGAACCAGCTCTTAACTCGTCCGTATAGATTGAATGACGTCGCGCAAACGGGTATCAATATAAATATAGGAAAAATGTAGTCAAATCCCTTTCCCAGCGGGGTTAAGTTGATCAGACGTCCAAGAAAGTTGTAAAACGTCGTTTTCTTATGGACGTCCTGGGGAAGGAATGTAAGAAAGTTGTAAGAAAGCGGAACCGTAAGTTTGGCGATTTGGCCTGCATACCAACAGGCACTTTCACTATAAGTGTTGCGAGGGACCAGAGCCCGGTTGCCCCAAACCTTGACGTCCGTTACACCCACGAATGCTGCCGAGCACATGTAGAAAATCCATGCTGCAGACGCTACCTGGCCCAAGAACCCGATTGGCTCGGATTGAGTGGGATTGTGGACAACTGAAAGTGTGACAATAGAAGCTCTAGGGGCAAAAGACTTGATAATTTCGGACCAAACAACGCAAGCTGACGCTAACGAAAAGAAGCCCGCGAGAATTAGCCTCGCCGCCGGTAGAATATGAACGTAGGTGTAGTAACGCAGGGTGGGGGTGATATAAGGAATTGATCTATTCGAAGAGGACTGGAATGAAGGATGAGAGAATTCGAGACGTTTGGAGGCGGATGAATCAATAATCGCCTGGGTATCAGCAGCTTCTCTAACAAGCTTCTCCCATGCATTGGCGAAACGCGCATTTTGATGGCGCGCTCGAGCCAGACGTCTGGTGATATCTGCGAGGTATCGTGCGGTAATTGTGGGCGGCACACTTGGTCGTGACTCATTGGCGCCAGCAGAGGCCCGAAGCCTTGATTCGGGAATACTAGTCATGTCAACAAGTTCGTCAATCCATTCCTGTAAATCGTAGGGGGCACCTGTTTTGTTTTTGCGTAGCTGAGATACTTGAAACTCAAGATCCTCAAGATCAGCCATGGAATCTGTCAGGCGATCGTGTATTCGAGGGGCTCGGGCTTGGATCCTCCTAAGTTTGTTCCCCGGGTTTGCATTTCTTATGAGAGTACGAGGGATAACCACTAAGCCATGTCCCATCAGGTAAATTGCGAGTGCCAGCCCCCAGAAATAAGCCAGAGCCATGACAAGGGCTTTTATAGATGTAAAATCGAAACCATTTTGTATAGATATGTAGACAAGTCCCTGCGATACCAGATCCAAGAACAATCAACTGATACCGCCCATTCGAGCGCAGCGAGTATAAAATACGGTCCTTCGGAGTGCGATATCCGGAATCAACGTATTCGCCAAGTAGAGGTAGAATGACCCTAAGTACAGAGAGTTAGGATCTGGCAGCGGCCGAACAAAATGGATGTTTGGTCGAAGGGAAAGGAAGGAAGGGAGCAGACAAGATGAGATCGACTACTAACCAGGTCATGACGAATGTCAACCAATAAGCAATCCTCCACGAAACAAGCATTACGCGGGGGGGAAGCCATATCCCCGAAATCGGTTCGTCTCCTCTCGTGCTCGATGTAAGGTCTATAGGGACAAGTAAAACCACGCTTGCGGGAAGGGCAAGAGCTAAAAAGACGGGGAAAGAGAGGAAGGCCGGTGTTGACCGCAACGGCACATAGAGTCTGAGAAGAAGGAGAACTAAAATCGATATGACAAGAAGAGCAAAACCCACGAATATGCCTGAGCCCACAGGGGCGGAACTAGATGTAGCAACCGACGGAGACATGGCTAGCAGGGTCGGGCACACCGATGGCTTTCGGTGGAGAAGAGCTAGGTCAAGTCCTCTACCGACGAATCATGGTAAGCTAGTTTCATCGAACTGGCGCCTCGTTCTCTCGAGAGAAAAGTGTATAGGATACTATGAAGAATCTGTGCTATTGAGGTGGAGACAGGATTTGAGTTGGAGAAGAGAGGTCGGTTGTTGGTTGGGGCCTCCGATGTGATATGATATGTTCTGGGGTTGCATGGGGTGACGCAGGTATCGCGGCTCGGTCATGAGGCGGCTAATTTTAGTCACTCTCAACTCCAGTTAGTGAGCCAGCTAACTATGATTGGATCCTGGAGCCAGTGCGGGTTAGATAATCAGCAGGGGGCAGCGCCCGCAAAACATAGACCTGATTGGACATGATTTGTTACTGCTAGTAATGTTCGTCACAAGCCTCGTTTCCCTGGTTTACACGCAGAAAGCTGGTA